TACTCCACTTGCTATTGATGCTGCACGGCAACATCCCAGTGTGTGATTGGGTCTACGACGTGCTGGGAACTGAGCCCCAAAGTCCATCACCACGAGACACCGAAGAGCACCAACAGTGCCCCCAAACGTGGAAACGTGGGCAGCAGGACGCAGGTGGTACAAAACCCTTGGTCCCCAAACTACAGCCGTGAGAGGAGTGCAGAGGAAACGGCAGAGGGCAGCTTGCTTCAATCCCAGATTCCACCTCAGATTCCCAGCAGAGACTGGCCGCCATGGCCCCAGGAACATGGCTCCTCGCAGAAGTAAGGAAACAATCTTGAGGTGGTTGCGAGGCTCTCAGATCATGATCCAGTGCTGGAAGCAGCCCTGGTGAGGTCAAAGAGTGCCCGTGCAAACTGGAAGTCCCAGTCGCTTATCTGTCACCAAAACCCCTGAAGGCCAGGAGAGGGGCGTCTCCAGTCAGCCTGCACTTTCACCAACTGCTGAAACGCTTGTGTCCTTGACCCCGCGCATTCCTGTGCCATTGTTCCGTCTGTGAACGCAGTGCCACGTGTTTGTCTCCAGCTGCTACGCCATGTGGGAGCACCGCTGCACGCACACCTAATCCCTCCGTGCACCTCATGTAACCGGGACATTTAACATTAAAATGAGCAAAGTCTTGACGTGGTTCTGAAAGTTTCTGCTTCCAATTCTGATGTTCATTTTCTGGCCGCATTTTCACTTTGATCACGTAAAACTAAGGGACCGTGACTGCACAGGGGGTGTGATGCCGCCGTCTGGGGCCCCACCAGTGGTTGCTGCTTGTTGGAGCCTCCGGAAAAAGACGAGGCTTTCCACTCCCGTGAAGAGCTACAGCCCACTTCTACGCTGTCCTGTTGAGTCGATGGCAGCGAGCAATTCTGTCACTGCTGTAGCTATCCTGTCCGTTCATATCTGGACTGTGATTCAAGTTCGCACCAGTACATTAAGCCACTGGCATTAGTACAAAGGGCCGTATGGTTTGGGGCTGGGGGAGGTGGTGGAAGCTGTATGAGGGGAGGTGGTGACGCCCTGAGTAGTCACACTGGGTGACACCAACCCTGAAGACTCCCGGTCACGGTCAGACTTAACAATCTCTAAGTGTCTGTTGTAAGAAAGAAAATGGTTAAAAACAGCACCATCAGCAACTTCGCTGCGAGTTGTCAGCATTTCAAAGCCTGTCAGAACTGCCGCTCTTGCCCCTCCCCTCGGAGATCAGCCCAGAAGAGCTTCCCTCATGGGCTCTGGAGGCAGAGTAGGGGGCTGGCGGGGCCTCAGCTCCTCTGCCCATGCTCCACCTGCACCACCAGCAGTGCCCCTCCCCGTGGCCACGACGAGCCCTTCCGTGGCTCTCGGCACATAGAGGCAGACCCAGGGATGCCTAGAAAGACGTCCCTCCCACCTCTGTCAGGAAAGCACTGGGCGGAGGCTGCGGGCACTGGGGACTGAGCAGGAGCCTGCTGCAGCCTCAGAACAGCCAGCCTTCCAGGGAAGCAAGCATCCGCGCGGCTCTGCTGCCCTCGCATGGAGGCCTCTGGCAGTGCTTGCCTGGGAAGCAGGCCCTGATGCAGCTGGGTAGGGCATGTGAGCGCCACACACTGGGAAGGTGAGGTGACGTGAAGCTGTCACCTTAGCCTGGGTGTCCCATCTCAATCCCTCAGCCCTCCCCCAACAAGCGCCTGCCTGATAAAATGTCTGTGGGTTTACACAGCCACACATGACGCTTGGTTGCTGAGAGCTATCTACCCGTCGTGGGGCTGCACTCTGGGATGTCCGCCGTCCAGTCGGCTGTGATGGGTGTCAGTACTCATGGGCAGAAAGCCCTGGTCCCTGGGATGTCCCACACCACGGCCATGCTCTATCATGCTCTCACTCAATGGAAGGAAACCAGTGGCCGCAGCCAGTAATAGCCCACCTGCCCACCCTCATTCCTGAGGGAAACGGCCGACTTGCGTTACCTGAAAAGGCGAGCGGAGTCCCTGAGAGGCTGGCATCAAAGACAAGCAATGAAGGGCTGGCTAAGCCACAGGCCAGGCGGCAGCCATCACCTGTGTGAGGGAAGTGGGGTTGACACATCTCCAGCACACCAGCAGCCTCGGGCAAAGCGACTGCAAGCCAAACAGAGTGTCCGTACCAAGGCAACAGCCCAGCCCTCGGGCTCAGAGACCATCTTTGTAAACATGAGACTGGGCTGTGGGTCCTGTGCCCCAGCACTTCCCACAGCCATGCCGCCGGGCTCTGTGCACTGAGCAGGGATGTGAGGGTGGAGTAGGGACAGCCTCTGTGGCCACAGGGCCCGGAACACTGGGATCGGATCGGGGCTGGACCCCCAAGCAGCTTCCAAGGCAGCCAGGCTGTCTGCATCGCCCGAGGGAGGAGGCTGTGCCCCACCCCACCACCCCGCACCACCCCAGGAGCCACACCGCCCTAGGGAGGCATCTGCGCCTCCTGAGGGAGTCTGCCCTCTGGAATCAAAGCTTCCTCCCAGGAGCAGCGCAGCCTCCCAGCGGGCCTCACACTGGTCCCTTTCAGCATGGGGACAAGTAGAAGTGTGAAGGGGCAAGCACAGGGCTGAGGGGAGGGTGGGGGAAGAAGGTTGTCCACTGGCACTTCCATGGGGCTGCCCTTGCTGCCCGCCCAGAGGAGCACTGCATGGTCCGCCCATGAGAAGGCACGCCCCCAAACACCACCACCCCTTTCCTGCCTTTTCCCCTCCCAGGCAGTTCTCTGCTTTGGGAAAGCTTCTCCCTCAGGAGTCCCTGTGCTGCCAGTGCCCTTCAAGAAGTCCCACCAGGATGGCCCCTGGGAGCCCCTCCCCCAGAACAGATCAGCCTTGCATTTGGGTTAGGCCTGTTCATGAAGGAACCTTGGTAGAAGAGGGTGTTTGACTGGGAGACTTGTCTGCAGCGGACCCCTGATTGCAAAGCCAGTTCCAAACGTTGTGCTGGAATAACCCCCGTGCATGAGGGAGCTCAAATCCTCAGTAACAATGCTTTCAGCCGCACCCTGGTGACACAGTGCTGGGCTGCTAACCTCAAGGTCATCAGTTCGAAACCACCTGCTAGCTCCGTGGGAGAAAGATGAGGCTTTCTACTCTGGTAAAGTGCTACAGTCTCAGAAACCCAAGGGCAGTTCTGCCCTGTCCTGTAGGGTTGCTGTCCCATCAGGGCCACCATCCTCATGTGCCTCCTGCGGACAGCCCAGGTCCACCTGGGAGCCAAGGAAGGAGATGGTCTTCAGACACAGAGCAAATCCAGACCAGTTTATAAGCTAGTGTCCCTGGGAGACCACGGGTATGTGCTCAATTGCCAGCCAAAAGGCCCAAGGTCAACCCAGCAGTCGCTCTCTGGGAGAAAGAGCCTTGGAGACTTGGCAGGGCCGGGTCACCGGTCCTGTGGGGTCAGCATGAGTCTGAAGCAGCTTGGAAGCAGTGGGCTGGGTTGGGGAGCGGGGGGAGGCAGTCATGAGCAAGTTGCCCGAGAGTGAATGTTTTCAAATCAGGCCCAGTATTAACTCCAGATCCAACCAGGGGGAGGCCCTCAAGCAGCCGGGATACAGACCTACATGCGCTAATTAAGCACAGGCACAGATACCTCAGGCAGGAAGGGCCCTGGCACTGGGGCAGGGGAGGGGGCAGGGCACCTGAATATTGAAGACAGCACACTGAGGTGGGGGCCGGGGCCACAGCCACCTGCTGGCGGAGGCGGGCTGGTAGTGGGCTCTCCACAGGGTAGTCTTTGCTGTAAAGAAAATCAGAGACCATAAAAGTCAAGGGAGGATTTGAAATGGCACCAGACACAGGAGTGGGTTTCCCCGGCTCACACATCTCATCTCTCAACCCCAGTAAGCAGGGCACATGAACATTTCACGAAATGCTTGTGCTCGGACAGTGAAATGATCCTTGAAGACACACTCCCTGCTACACGTTGCCGCAACACACGCCCCTTTCTCAGATACAAACCACTGACGATCTGCCACGTTCAACACTAACTGCTGAGACCATGGGGTTGATTTGGAGGAGGAACCTTAGGAGAGAGAAAATCCACTGCACGTCCTGGCCCAAAGCCTTTATGGTCATGACTCTAACCGCTCAAACCACCTGCCGATGGCCCATGTTTCTATGAATAGACCCACAGCCTCGCCTCTGAGAAAACAAGGAAGGATGAAACGTGGATGGAAAGTTGATGCAATGGGACCCAGCACACCAGTTGGAGTGAGTGCCATGTCCACAGGAGTCCCGCCAAGGGGCACCAACCACCTGCCGGCCGGCTGGCATGACCCCCAGACCGCAGTGAAAGGTGCCCCCACATCTGTCCTCACAGCGGCCCTCTGTACGAACAAGGAACCTGCCGGTCCTGCCGTCCTCACAGTTGTTCCTGCGCTCGGGCCCAGTGCTTCGGCAACTGTGTCCACCCCTCTCCTTGTCTTCCGCTTTTTACTCACTGACCCTCTGTTTTACCAAGCATGATGTCCTTCTCCAGGGACTGGGCTCTCCAAATACATAAGATGGCGCCCCCCCCCCCTCTCTCTCTGAGGAGCACTCTAGGTTTTTTTCCCTGATATGGCAGATTTATTGCTTCTTCTTGGCGCTCAATCATCTTTGCGACATTCCTCAGCAGCATCATAATTCAAACATATCATTCCTTCTTCGACTTTCTTTACTCAAATCCAACCAGGGCTAGGGTCAGGTGCAGTCGAGTCCTCAGTGACCTCCTTGCTTTTCGATACTCTACGGAGATCTTGTGCAGCGATGGCCCAACACATGCACCCCTTGACCTCGTGATTGCTGCCACCATGAGCACTGGTTGTGGATCCAAGTGACGTCTTTTCTCCACTTATCATGGTCTTGCTTCTTGGTCCAGTTGTGAGGAGTCTTGCTCTCTTTATGTTGAGTTGTAATCCACACTGAAGGCTGCAGTCTTTGGCTCCATTTGTAAGCACTTGGGGAAGTAATGATCTTCGTTAATAAATACTTCATTAGTAAATCCTCTTCACTTTCCGCAAGCAAGGCTGCGTTATCTGTGCTCACAGGTTGTTAACGAACCTTCCTCCAATCCTAATGCCACATTCTTCTTCATAAAATCCAGCTTCTCTTCTGATTTGCTCATCAGAAATTGAATAAATATGGTGAGAAGACACACCCTGAAGCACACCTTTCCGGATTTTTAACCCATGCGGTATTTCCTTGTTCTGTTCGCACAACTGCCTCTTGATCCATGTACAAACTCCCCATGAGCACAATGAAGGATTCTGGAATTCCCGTTCTTCTCAATATGACCCATAATTTGTTATGACACAAACAGCCAAATTCCTTGGCATAGTCACCAAAGCACAAGAAACATCTGGTATCTCGGCTTTCAGCCAAGATCCATCTGACATCAGCAGTGACATCCCATTTTTCCAGGGAAGTCCTCTTCTGAATCCATTGTGAACTTTGGGCAACTCTCTGTCAATGTACTGTTGCAAGAGGTTTTTTTCAATTATCTTCCACAAAATTTTACTTCCGTGTGGTATTACTATTGCCCCATAATCTCTGCCCTCTGCTGGGTCACCTTTCTTTGGAATGGGGACCATGGAGACCTCTTCCTTTTGATGGCCAGGTTCTCGGCATTCCGACCCCTCAATGGGTGTGCTCCTGGGGCTTCTTTCTCACAGTGCCTTCACGTGCAGCGTGCACTTTTCCTTTAGCATGAGAGGGTCCCCATTATCCACTACCCCCGGCACGATTGAATACACACATGTATAGGGGTGCAGTGCCTGTGTGTTCCTTCCATTTTCTTTTGATGTTTCTGGCATCATTCAGTGTTTTTCCCACAAAAGTCTTTAATATTTCAACTCAAGTCTTAATTTTTTGTCTTTTATTTGGAGATATGCTACGTCTTTCCTTTTGGTCTTCCAACTCTAGGTCTTTACACCTTTCTTTACAGTGCTTTGTCTTCCCAAGCTACTCTTCAGAATCTTTTGTTCAGTTCTTTTACTTTATGATTTCTCACATTCATTTTTAAAAACCCCAAACTCTAACCTACTGCCATCAACTTATTCTGGCTCGTATCGACCCCACGGGCAGAGACGCACTGCCCCTGCGGGTTTCCAGGACCGTGACTTTTCACAGGAGTAGAAAGCCCCATCTTTCTTCCCTCAGTGTGGCTGGTGGTTTCGAACTGCTGATCTTTCGGTTGGCAGCCCAAGGCATAACCAGTACACCACCAGGACTGCTTTTCCATTCACTTCAGCTACTCTAAACAGCAACTTTCAAAGTCTCTTCCAATGTCTACTTTGGTCTTCTCCTTCTACTGAATTTTTGTTTGCCTTCTGCATTCAATGTGTGTGACATTATTCACTGCACAGACCCATCTCATCTCTGTCGTTCATGTTCAATGAGTCAAATCTCTTCTTGAGATGGTTTCAAATTCAGGTGGGAAGATTCAAAATGGTAATTTGGCTCCTGTGTTGGACTTGTTTTAGATTTCTTCAGCTTCAACTTGAACTTTATGAGTGAGTGACAGGTTCTTCTTGACAATGATGTGATGCCATTGCCCCTCCATCGACCATTCTGAGTCACAGACCCTACGATTGCCCTTTCCAAATGGCCAGCACCAGGCCATTTATTCCAACTCACCATTATCTATGAGCACATACCCACCAGGGCTCAGGAAGGACTTTTGTCAGTCTGGTAATTTTTCACATGGATATGTGATGCATATTAAAATGAATGTTTCCGGGTGGTAGAGTGTATTAGGCATTGGGCTGCTAACCACAAGGTCAGCAGTTCAAGCCCACCAGCTGCTCCACAGAAAAAGAAGAGGCTTTCAGTTCCAGTAAAGATGTGCAGTGTAGCAATGATGAAACATACAACTTTCCTCTAGTTCCTAAATGCTTCCTCCCCACCCACTATCATGATCCCAAATCCACCTTACAAATCCTGCTAGACCAGAGGAAGTACACTGGTACAGATAGGAACTGGAAACACAGGGAATCCAGGATGGATGATCCCTTCAGGACTAGTGGTGAAAGTGGCGATACTGGGAAGGTGGAGGGAGGGTCTGGAGGGAGGGTCGGGTAGAGAGGGGGAACCGATTACAAGGATCTACATGTGACCTCCTCCCTGGGGAACACACAACAGAAAAGTGGCTGAAGGGAGACATTGGACAGTGTAAGATATGACAAAATTATGATTTATAAATTATCAAGGGTTCATGAGGGAGAGGGGAGCGGGGAGGGAGAGGGAAAAATGTGGAGCTGATGCCAGGGGCTTAAGTGGAGAGCAAATGTTTTGAGAATGATGAGGGTAACAAATGTACAAATATGCTTTATACAATGGATGGATGGATGGATTGTGATAAGAGTTGTATGAGGCCCCAATAAAATGATTTTTTTTAAAAAGCTGCATTAGAAGTCTGAGAAACCTGGAGGGCAGCTCTACTCTGTCCTACAGGGGCACTAGAAGCAGAGCCAGCTCCATGGCAGGGAGCTTAGTGTTGTCTCTTTTCTCATGACATTGTTACACTCCAGAGCCATAGGGATCCCCGAAGCTTCCCCTGCCCCCAAACCCCAAACTCCTCTTGGTGTGAACACTTGTTTGCAAGACTTGCCCAGAAGCTCCAAGACAGCCCTGAGTCAGAACCAGGCCCCCGGGCCCAGAGCCCAGGGCCCATGCCTGACAGAGGTAGCCCTCCCCCAGGAATGGGCCACCAGGCCTGGAAAGCCCAGCATTTAGCCCTGCGGGGGCTCAAGATTTCTATTCAGCGGTCACTGGAGAAACTTGAGAATATTCTCTAGCTACAGTGTTTCCTAAAACTGAGCCTCATCCCAAAGTCACAATTTCCAAAGTGGTAAAAATAGCAGCAGGTCTGAAAAAATAAATGATATAATTCCATGGTATGTGTGTGAGAGAGAGAGAGATACGTGCACCCACGGTCTCACACCTGTTTGAAGAAAATCAGGTCAAGAATTACATGGTCTCTAAAGTTTACTTCAAACTGAGTTGTAGTGCACAATCGAGAGGACCCACCACTGGTGGCCGCTCTTGCGCTGTGAAGGTCGGTCACCCTTGGTATTCGTCTTCGGTGTGAACATCGGGACCTTGCTGGAAAGAAAACTCCGTGTCAGCCTCAGAGGTGACAAGCTCCACCTCTCCTCAGAGTGAGACCTGTGTCACAGTGGTTAAACCACTCAGCTGCTAAGCCACGGGCCATGTGACCCCACCAGACACTCACTCCCTGGGAGAAGGGGGGGCTGTGCTATGGGAAAGACCCCACACTGGCAGCAATGAAGGTGAACTCAGGAAGGCTACCAGGCAAGGCAGCCTCCGCCCGACTGTCAACCAACAGCCCGAACTCCCAACTTCCCCTCAGGGCACAGCCTAGCTGCCCTTTCACCCACAAGTGCTCCACCCCCAAGTGCTCCACCCACAAAAATGCCCCACCCACAAGTGCTCCACCCACAAAAATGCCCCACCCACAAGTGCTCCACCCATATGCTGTCCTCCGGGGGCAGCACCTCCCCCAAGTCAGCCCTGAGGTCTCCCCAAGCACCTCACACCTGATCTCTGCCCTGCCCCCTCATCAAATGGGGGCGCTCAGGAGCTACTGCCCCCCCAACAGCACCCAAGCCCTGCTCCACATGGACCCTGGTACCCCTCAGCACCCCCAATAAGGCTCTCCCACTAGGCACATTTAACTACACCCCTTCCCACCTGCACTCTTCCTCCACAATCCTTGCCTGCCCCCTCTCCATCTTCCCCCCATACCCCACTAACCCCTGCACACCACCTTACCTCCTCCTCCCTCCCCTCCCCCTCCCCATCCCCTTGCACTCTATCACCCACCTCTGGCATCCCCTATGCCCCTACCTGCACCCTCTGCATATCCCTGACTGCCCGTCCCCCTCCCTTCCCCATGCACACCCCACATCTGTACCACCAGTAGGCAAGTCTCCACAGATCAGGATCCCCACAGGTCAGGGGTGCCCCAGGTCAGGGGCTCCCATGGGTCAAGGGCTCCCATGGGTCAAGGGGTCCTTGCAGGATAAGGCCCTCGGGTCAGGGGTCCCCACAGGTTAGGTGGTCCCCGCAGGCCAGGGATTCCCACAGATTAGGTGGTCCCCACAGGCCAGGAGTCCCCACATCAGGGGATCCCCAGCATGCACCCACCCCCAGCTCTGTGCAAGAACCACTGGTGAAGCATCTGCTGCCCAGGGGCAGTGTCCCCATTCCTGCCATGGGTCCGCTCAACTGAAAACATGTCTTGATTTACACTAAGTGCTAGAAGCCACCCACCCCAGAGACAGTCTTACGCACCGTGGGCCATGGCCATAGCCGGAGGACCTGACCTTCGTGTGGAAGACGAGGGGCTGGTCCTGGATGCGGCTCCAGGCAGCAGCAGGGTGGTTGGACACAGGGACTGACAACCACAGAAACCCAAGTTCCGGGATGGACGTGAAACAACACAGAAGCCAGTGTAAGTGCAGGACGGTTTCTCTGCATATCCCTCTATCTCATCCTGTAAACTATACTGAAGCGCAATATGATTACAACTATATTTCAAATAACTGCTCCTCACATGACAGCCTTCCCACACAGCGCTGCCACGGGAATCTCAGCACGCACACGGGGTGGATTGAGTCCAACAGGGCCTTGGCTCAAGCCACAGGATGGAGAGACAGGAAGTTCTAGCTCCACTATCCTGAGTGCTGTGTGGCTGATAAAGTAGACATGTGTATTAATGCTCCCTGAAGCCATCAGAAGGCATCCTTCACACCCTCAACAACAGATGGAAAGGTGAGCAGTTCAAAGCCGCCCAGCAGCTGGGAAGAGGGCCAGGTCTGGTCCTGAGAGGCTGAGACCGTGAGAAACGCTGTGGGTCCCCAGGAGTCAGGGCGAGTGGTGGCTGGGGCTGGTCTGCTCGGCGTTTGTTGGGTTGAGCACTCCGGAGTGCTGCTTGTTTGCAGAGGCCGGAGCAGCAGTGAGAGGGTGGACAGACAGAGAGCATGGGAACTCCTCCTTGGGATGGCTGACACCAGCGGGAACAATGGAGCCAACAAGGCACGAATGGCCATCGCCAGCGGTTTTCCTCTTACTGGTCCCCACCACCACATGGGAAGACCATGGATGACCACCAGCACCGTGGGGTGAGCCCTGCTGTCTGTCGGGAAAGGAGCGTCAGTGTGGACCCTCCCTGGGGACGTTCAGAAACACTTGAGAGCAAAGGAAGGAAGCAGACGCTGACTGGCTCCCACTCCAATCACTGCAGGGCCGCGTGACACATCCAGCCATGGTGACAACTGTCCATTTGCCTCTGGGGTCTGTGACAACTACCTGATGGCCTCTGTCCAGGGGGGTTGGGACGTTTCTTCTCAGTGGCTCCACAACACAGCGGGGAGGTTGGGGAGACACAGGAGCTGAAACAGGCAAAGCTGTTATGTAAAAACAGCACTTGTTCGGTGGGGCTGTCTCGATGAAACACATATTGTAAGGGTAGTTACAGATGACCAGATCACATATTTATGAATATACAGTATTGGGAAATGAAGGCATCTAGTAAAAGCTTGTGTTTATCCTTGTAAGTAAAGAAAATATTTTTATTGAAATGGGTATATTCTAATTTACATACTATGCTGAAATAACAGTGTCTCGTGTTTTACAAAACAGCTATGAACTTTGTGTATATACATATATAGTCCAATTGCTGTTGTTGTCATTGTTGTTGTTGTTAGGTACCACTGAGGCATCTCTGACCCATTTTATTCTGCACAACAGGACAAAACACAGCACGGTCCTGCGCCAGGCTCACAATTGTCCACACTCACATGCAGTCATAAATTCACTCACTTGCAGGCATTCACACCATCACATTCACATGATACTCACATACACTTCTTCACATGCTATCTGCACACATACATTCACATTCATAGGCAGCTTCACATTTACACACACTCACTCATGCACACACTCACTCTCACAGGAAAATACTCACAAACATACATACACACACTCACCTGCACCCACTTATAGTTACACTTACATAACGTCCATGCACTCACATTTATATGCACTGATTCACAATAACTTAAATGCGCACACTCAACCCAGCATGCACTCACACACTCATATGTGCATACTTGATCACACTCACACATTCAGACACTCACACATTCTCAGCACTCACTCTCATTCACACACACACAATCCAGCATTTGTTAGCTCATCCACACATACTTGCACACACAAGCACATACTAACATGCATTCACACACACTCATTATCAAACACACAATAATGGACACTCAGTCATGCATAATCACTCACACTCACTCAGACACTCACAAACTCAGGCACATGCAGTCAAATACTTATATACACAATCAGCACATACACACACTCTCACTCACTCACTCACTCACGCACGCACACACACACACACACACACACACACACATTCTACCATAAAAAGACTTAGTACCTTGCCAGGACAGACAAGTGCCTCCCCACACCAGCACCCCTCTGGAAGCCCGCCAGGGAGGCAGGGTTGATTTCCAGCACAGCAATCTGATTTCCAAACAGGGATGAGAGCAGGCACAGGACCTGCAGGGTTAAAGGTGTGACGGGCTTAGTGGCACATCTGAGCACACAGGGAATAACAGACGCGGGCAGTCCAGTCACCAACACAGCATTCACCGTGAAATCCACATCAGATTCCTGCTCAGGTGCACCATGTCACAGGTGAGTGACCACAGGGTTCTTCCTCGTTTACGTAAAATAATATGGGTGGGGGGGTCAACTCATAATACCATGTGGAAAGTGGACAGGTCACAGACAAAGGCATCATACAGCTCAGGGATGTGGGGGGAGGTCAGATGTGCAGGCATTCCCTCCCCTGAGGGCGATCAGTTGCCAGATTGCTGTCTCATCCCTCCACAGGGGTGGGCCTGCTCCCTGCCTCTGGGGACAATGGACAGGCTCCTGTAGGCGGAGTTTTCACCCTACTGATAATGGTTCCTATGGAGACCCAGAGACCACCCCCTAGACCACCCCTTCTCATTGCTGTGTAACCTATAGTGCGGCCCCTCCCTGTGATGAATGTCGGTACCTGTAATTGGTGGGCTGGTATGCTCCCAAAAGGTATATAGGTGTGGGTCAGCAATATAGAGCTCTCTGGCTCCCCTCTCTCCCCCCTCTCCTCTCCAGTCCTCTCTCCCTTGTTCCCTTGCCCTCCTTCCCTTCCCCCTCTCTCCACGTGAACCACCAAGCTGGGCTGAGGTGAGCAATGCTACCATGTAATGTGTCTAACTGCATTATTGTATCTCTCATGCTCTCGATGACTTTAATATAATACTTATATCTCAACGGTACAATTGTGCTTACTGAACCCGTAGTAGTAGCAGTGGGTGGGGGCTGGCTCCTCACTCCCCCATCATCATTTAATTTAATACTACACAGGGACAGGTCAGGGACAGACAACCTACAAAGCAGGTGCACATCACAGACGAATATCCCTACAGAACAGGGGCACCTCAAAGACAAACACCACTACATAACAGGGCACCTCACATTCAGACACCCCTACAGAACAGGGGCAGCTAAGAGACAGACACCACTACAGAACTGGAAGACAAGACAGACAGATACACCTTCAGAACCAAGACATCTCACAGATGGACACCCCTACAGAAGAGGCACACCTCACAGACAGACACCCCTACAGACATGGACACTTCACAGAGACACCCCTCCAGAACAGGGACACCTCACAGACAGATACTCCTTGAGATAGTTTATTGTACCTGCCTGGCCGATAAACACAAGTGGGATTAATTGAAGGGCAGAGAAATAAATGGCTCCGTGAGCCTCGCCTTTCTTGTC